CAATAAATTTGCTACAGTTGCCTCGATTGATTTACGAATAATGCAAATTTATATATGTGCAAATTTATATATGTACTTTATATATGTACATATCAATCATACGCACCGTTAGCCAGCGAAAAGTTTTCAAATGGCTTGGGATATTCATTATTGAAATGCTAATGAAAAGAAAGCAAGTTGCTCGAACGTCGAATCAGCTCTAGCATGCAATTAAAATAATTAAAGTAAACATTTCAAATGATAACAAGCCACATGCAGCCATTCACACACACACAAACACACACACACAGACACATGGACAAACGCTTAAAATATTATCAACGCTCGCTCATCAATTTTTTTTTTTGACTTTGCTTTGCTTTTAAAATGCAAATGAAATCAAAGCAATGCATAGAAATTTATGTATTTATATATTATATGGATCTACATACATAGATATGTATATTGCAAGCTGCTCAATCTCTCAAAGGCAAACATTTTGAATGCAATTTTGTATTTATGACCGACACAAAACGCTGACCATTCGCTGCGGGTTGAGCAGGGCGAGCATTTTATGCGTTATATTTTGTATAAAAGTACTTGAAAATATTTCTTTTTATGGCTCAGATTTTGCTTCGACACTTTGTTGGCATTTTATGATGCCACCGAAACATGATGATGCGTTCAGCCCTTGGCTGCGGCGGCCAATCGGAGCGTGGCAAGGCGAATGCTATAGCAGCTACCACTGCGAAATTGTATGAATTATTGTAAGAAAGTAAACTTTAAGCCTCGATAGGCAATAAGAAAGTACATGTTATTTTACAATTTGTTTTTCTATATACATATATAAATATATATATATATTTTTTTTCAAATATGGTAAAAGCAATTTTTGTTTCTGTTCAATTTTAATATATAAGACATATATATTTATTAATTATATATTTATTTTGTTGTTTAGTATTTATTACATATATTTCTAATTTAACTTTAACTACAACTTATTGAACTAACACAACCGATTCCTGCTGAACCGAGCACATCAAGTGTATAGGGTGCATATGGCTGGCGCTTCGCATCAAAGTTTTACCACTCCTCGCGTACAGAGCAAGTCGCTTGGGCACATAAAAAAGTGTTTACATTTCATTCATAAAATATCAATTACGTACATGTGTGGCAGCTAAGTGACGCGCACACACACACACATATATATGCGTGGCTTTTGTGAGTCAAATCGATATTACACAAATACGTGAGGACATCAGGGTTCATTGCTTAAGTTTTGCACTGTGCGACATTTTGGGCCAATATGGCACACCACGCACACTGATGGAAATTTAACGAGTTGCACGCCAACAAGCAGCAGCAGGAGTCGCAGCAGCAGCAGAAGGCATAAAATAACAGGACATCGCCATACAATAGCAACACATTAGAATCAGCTGTCAGACCGATAAGAGAGGGATCGGTAAAGAATGAGAGAGAGAGAGAGAGAGAGAGAGAGAGAGAGAGAGAGAGAGAGAGAGAGAGAGAAAGAGAGAGAGAGAGAGTGAACATGTAGCTAAATGCTCATAAACAACTCGTTGGATAGTTGACGTGACAACCTTTGTTGTGGCATAGCCTATAAAGCATAAGAGCCTATAAATAAGAGTAGCATCATCCGAGAGCTGGCAAAAACGTATAGCTCAGCATGATTTGTTAAGGTTTAAAGGATTTTTTTTAACCTGATTTTCTGAGGAATATTGAGGCTGAAAATATGATTAAATACACAGACAAAACAAGTAAGAAGGCTCTACTCGGGACTGCTCGAGTAGGAGATACCCTGAGCCCTCCAAGCTGATATAGGAATCATTTTGCACTTCTTTTATGCACACATACATACATACATACACATGCAAACACAGGCAAGTATAAGCAAGCGCTCTGCTAACTGCGCAGTAAGCAGAGGCAACAAATTTTGTGTATCCATCAAATATATAGTAAATATGAAGCCTCTATATATATTTAAAGTATTCCAAATTTATTGATTATTCTAGATAAAAATGAGTTATCGAAATAATATGATAAACTTGTACTGCGCATGGTATGTATATATCATTAAGTTAAAGAGCCGATCAATAACAGCTCTGATATTTTTTATCCAGTATCCAGTTGACTCTTTATTTTTATGTAAACTACATTTGAAATATAAAACTGGCTTTAATTATTTGTATACCCAGATGTGTAACACCATCAATTATTTCGATAGCTTAACTAACACTGTCTCCCTCTCTCTCTCACTCTCTCACGCTCTCCCTTAGAGCTTAATTACAAAATTATTGTGATTCGCGCTCGCCATACAAATTGCGGGGCTTAAATTGCTTTTGCATTGCGCCGCTGATTCATAGGCTAATTCGCGATTTATGCAATTAGAACATTTAAACATTTGCATTAGCGACAAACTATTTCACAGTTAGCCCAACATAACGAGCATCGGGCGCTGTTAATGCGTGCATTAAAATCCGCTCACCGTTAACACAGACGCCGAGCACGTTTAATTGACTCTAAATGCGGAAATGCTCTCTAAATGGGCTTTGCATTTATGAATGCCATGCAAAACTAATTGGCTCGACACGCCCGACTATTTAAAAATTTGTTAACTATTTGCGGCCAGACAAATTAGTTAAGGCAACAATAACAAACAGCAACAAAGGCATTTGGCTGCTGGCAAAAGTTAATATTAATGTGGTATTTCCTTTTGAAGAACAGCTTCGCATGCAAAACTGCTTATGAATAAAGAAATGATGGAATACACAACAACAACAACAGCAGCACACACACATTTGGGTAACATGCCCCAGGGTCTACGAAATATTAACATACATTTTGCATAGCGACGACCCACACATGGACCCAAGCTAAACTTGTCGACGGAACGGGAGACAGCCAGCCAGGCAGGCGGCTGGCTTAGCCATTTGGCAGGCAATTGTGTGGCCCAGACGTTCTAGCCAGGTCTGACAACTGCGGAAGGAAGGAATTTTCAGCACATCTGAGCAGCGGCGCAATCTTTGGCTGAAATTTACCTTTCTTTGCTTATATTCCTTATTTTTTATTATGATGCCAAAAGGTCGCGCTCCAACAGGTTGTTGTTGTTGGCACTTTAGTCATTGTCTGGTCTTTATAAAAAATTTATTATAGTGCGGACATTGCAATGCCTTTAAGATTTTCGATAGGCTGCCTTGTTAAGAGTATTCCTCTAGAGCTCTCTGCTCGATAAATTTCAGCACATGGCCAAATGCTGTGGCCCAGCGGCAACGACAGCTGCTCACTGCACAACAATGATTTACAATGCATTGTTAATGCGCTTTTAATGAGTGTTGCATATAAGACTATATATACACACATAGATATACATATATATTTCTGTTTAAGGAAAAAAGTTGTGAACGCCTGGAAAACTTGTCGCCAGAGATTTCTGAGGCCGTGTGGAGCGACGACAAAGTTGCAATGCCGATCAACGCGACGACGTCTTGCCGCAAAGCCGCCTTAAGCGCTTCAAACTTTTGCTGCACTCAGTCATTAACATTAAAGAGATGCCATGTCGTCGTCGTCCTCGTCTTTTTGGGTAGTCAACGCAAAACTTTCCAGGCAGCGCCACGGCACATGTGCACAAAAATGTGCTGGAGTCTGCCAACCCCAGGCAAACCCTTTTGCAGCCCCTCCTCGCTGCTCCAACTGGCTGCACTGCAGGGGCATATAAATAATTGAGTGGCGCCCCAAAGTAGGCAGCAAAGTGCTCGGGCTGCAGGTGCCGCAAGCGAATGTGAAAAATGGCTTGGAATAGATACGACAGCTACTTAGTTATGCCAATTCTGTGGGCTGGCCCTAAATGCACGAGTTTTTCTGTTGCCTAAATCCAAAAGTCAGACTCGTCTTTAATGCAGCTCTATTGCTGTGAATTTAAGGAAGATTTTCAACTTATTTAATGAAATGCGCACTGAATGAAAAACACTTTCAAAAATATACCCCAACTGAAAGGCGGTTAGTCTGGCGCTTTGAGGAACGTATTTGTGCTAAATAAATAATGCAGCCTCGTGGTTAATAAAAACCAGCTCGAGCACAACACAAATTGCACTCGAGCGACCCACAAAGAAGTTAAGCAGAGTCCCAGACAGCGCCAGCCAGAAAGCATTTGCAATAACATTTAAGCAATACAAATAACAAGACACATTCAATTTTTAACAAAACGAAAAAATAGAGTGCTTCCATGGGGTATGATGAGCTATGAAATGCCCTAAAATGTTGAAGCTAACAGTGCTGTGAATTACTCTAATATTTGTCATTTAAAATTATACGAATGAACTGGAGTTTTTATTACTTTATATACATATATTATAATTATAAAAATTATTGTATATTAATTAGTTTGATATTTGTTTATAATAATAATAGTAAATATATATTTTAATTTTTTTTTTTTTTAATGAGCTACACAATAAATTAAATAGAGAATATATCCATAAAATATAAATAAAATTAAAAAAAAAAATTAAAATTAAAATTAAAATAAAAAAATTAATAAAATAAAAATATAAAATATATAAATATTTAATAAAAATTATAATTATAATTATATATGTACATATGTATATTTGTACATACATATATTTATATGTATGTATGTATATATTTTATATATATATATATATATATATATATATATATATATA